GAGAAGTCTACAATTCTTTCCCCGATACTGTTTCCAAAGAATTCTTGAGAATTCTTTCCGAACACGTAGTCAAGTCTCGCATCGACCTAATCCCTGGAATTACCCAATAGCCCAAAAGCCTCAGTGAGCACGATGTGTCCAAGACAGCAATCAGGGCTTGATACGATCACTACGAGGTAGTAGTGGTGCCCTTCGGTCAAACCATTTTCTTGGTCATGTAGATAAGCAAAGAAATCATACTCGTTAACCTTTCCAAAAGCTAAGGAAATAAAGAATTAGTCGGCACCAGGAATACCCATGGAAACCTATCAATTCTTGGGTCCCGCCGACTATGATCGTAGATTCACGTAGAAGTTTCCTTAGAACCATCGGACCCTTAGTTACTCTGCCACATAAAGATGTACCCACTTGTTGGAGGTCTTACTCTGGAAAGACATAGTATGCCTTGAGAAGTGCGGAAAACTTAACTTGTGGAACCTTAGACCCTTCGAGATCCTCATTAGGAATCGATTCCATAGCCCTCTCCGAGCTATCTTCAGAACTCAGCAGCGAGCAATCGGTATTCCACATCATTGTTTGTAAGAAGTGCCGACCTGACGAAAACCTTAGTCACCCCTTTGATGAGATCAAAACCAACAAGGTCCGAACCTTCATGGATGAATCAATTGAGATCATGGATTGAGAGGTTACCCGTGTGTAACAAAGCCACATCCTGACAGTGAGGGTTCGATGGAATGTCAAGCGGAGACCCGATTCCACTTAGGAGCATGAAGACCCGAAGCAGTAGATTCATCCTCATATCTCTTTTCACTTCGTGATCTGCGTTCGAATGTTTGAATTTTGGGACAAAATTCCCTCTAACGGGGAGATAATGTAACAACCCGAAATTTGTATCACTGCTTATACCCATTTTCGCGACTCATTTCGATCATCCAATCGTCGTTTCCAATTTCGTTTCCAATTCAGACATTTAATTAAGTCATTAAAGTGTATTTTATTTTATGACTTAATGAGCGTCCTAATACCTTTAGAACTCATTCTAACTCCCACTTTTAGCGATTGGAACATTTCTAGAATCAGCCATATCGGGTTACGGCAATTTGGCCAGGTGCGACCAAAAGCCCCGTCTAACGCCGGTATCGGGTAGAATTTCACCATGTCTCGAACTTGGACACTATTTAAAGTGAACCAAGCTTTCATTTGAAGCTTTTTATTCATTTGACAGCCATCTCTCCAACCTCTCTCCTCAAACTAGATTCAAGGTCAAAAATCATCAAAATTAGGCATCAAATCACCAAGGTACCTTCCTTAACTCATTGTGTATCATATTTGACCTTCAAATTCGAGATTAAAGCATGAATTAGGACCTTGTATATGAGTTTACAGCCCTGGAAGGTGCTTAGGCCGTAAACACATATTTAGAAGGTTTTTAAGCCCTTAAACCCTTCCAAACCACAACTAGACCTTATTTATGGCTATATGACTTCATGAAATGGACTTAGAACACTTTAGACATGGATTTTGAGGGATTTGCATGAGTTTACGGCCAAGGCATGTGCTTGGGCGGTAAACCCCTCAAAAATGAGAGTAAAATCATTTCCAAAATGTTAGAAAGCCATATAACTTCACCAAAAGCCTTAGAATAAATCATAGAACCAACCAAAAATAGTTTGGGGACCTTAAACATAACCAAACTCTTCATTTGAGATTTTACGTCCATAGCATGTGTTTCATGTCCGTAAACTCCTAATTGTGTGTCTTTTGGTGCCCCAAATTCATTTCAAGGCTTGTAAAAATTATTGGAATCAAATGTGATTAATTTTGGGACATTAAATCACTCATTCAAGGGGGGTATAGGAGTTTACGGCCGTATGCTCCATGCTAGGGCCATAAACTCCCTTAAGTGGTGTTCTTTGATGAATTAAATCAATCCCAAGCCTTAGGAAAAATTGTTCCAACTCTTCCCAAGTGATATTGGCCATTTAAGCTCCATAACCCTTGCCAACATGAGTTCACGACTGCGAACTCATGTGTGAGTATTGTATAAGGTCATAAACTCATTAGGGAGTTTACTATTGAAGAGTAAACTCAAATCCCAAGTCCCCCGCATCAATCCCGTCCGTAGATGTCACCCGGGTCACTCCAAACACTCGTTTTGAGGTGTTTTCGTTCATTGGAGTGTAACTTCATATCTAATTAGAGTTCGTGAATCTAATTAGGTATATTTGTATACCATTTCATATTACATAGGAACCTCGCATGTTATCAAGCGTCGATTCAATGTTTAGCATCCGAAATCGTCACATTTCTCGTCCGGTGAGTTCATACCCCTACCCTTTTTCAATGGTTTTTCAATGTTTTCAAGGGGGGAATACAAGCAAGAGTACAAGAATATTTTGTACTTAAACTCATGATTTTAATTAAATGGTTTCATAATTGTACACTTTTAAGAATTCAAAACCTTTTAAGAAACTGTTTTAACTTGCAGAATTGTTTGTTTAAAACCGATTTTTGATTCTTATTATATACTGATATGTTGTATACTTTACAATTGATTGTTCACACTTATATTGATAGAGATTGTAAAACATTAGTAAAGTCTGTAATAAATTACCCTAGGCACGAGTATAAAATTCAGACACCATTAGAACACATAAAACATCGGTATGTCCTTAATAATACACCTAGGCTCGAGTGTAAAGGTCAGTCGTCATTAGAAAACATAGAACATTTGTAATGTCCTTAATAATACACCTAGGCTCGAGTGAAAAGGACAGTCGTCATTAGTAAACATAGAAAATTTGTAATGTCATTAATAATACACCTAGGCTCGAGTGTAAAGGACAATCGTCATTAGAAAACATAGAACATTTGTAATGTCCTTAATAAAACACCTAGGCTCGAGTGTAAAGGACAGGCACATTAGAACTTAGTTAGTCATAGATACTACTTCCTTAGGCACGAGAAGTAAAGAGTAATCTTAAAGATTGGAGACACGTCCTCTGTAACACTTCCTTGGCACGAAAGAGTGGAGGACTAACCCTATAACCAGAATCTCGAGGAGGGAGAACGTGACTTGAGTGTATAGATCTATACGGGACTGACAATCCCGCACCTGGCTGCTAGCTACAGCCGAACCGAAAAGTTCAAGGGTGATGAAAGTCATAAAAAGGATACTGGCCCTGGCCCGAGTCATATGTAGTCTGAGTATGGTTAAGGACTCGCAATCAAGATTATTAACATTTTACACGTATTTGTTAGTTTTATGTACGTAATAAAACTAATGTACATTTAAGGATAACCGGACTTACAATACTCACACACACACATTCAGGAGAACATGGGGTTTTCCTGGGGACAACATTGAACATAATCGGAATCGGTAGCAGTACACACACACATTCAGGAAAACATGGGGTTTTCCTGGGGACAACATTGAACATAATCGGAATCGGTAACAGTACACACACGCACACATTCAGGAAAACATGGGGTTTTCCTAGGGACAACATTGAACAAAATCAGAATTGGTAACAGTACACACACACACATTCAGGAAAACATGGGGTTTTCCTGGGGACAACATTGAACATAATCGGAATCGATAACAGTACACACATACACATTCAGGAGAACATGGGGTTTTTCTGGGGACAACATTGAACATAATCGGAACCGGTAACAATTCGCACATACAGAATCAGTAACTGTTCACACACATACATGTAGGAAAATATAGGATTTTCCTGAGTAACTGTAGTACGTAACCAGAAAAGTGTAACAAGTTAGATAACTGAACTTACAATTTTATAAGAATAATGATGTTTTCATCGTACATCATTTACATTACTTTTGGATTTGGTAACCAACTTTAACAAAATATGGGATTTTCTTGGATAACCACTTTTTCAGGAAACTAAAGGAACTCGTTCATTTTCAGAAAAACTAACCGCTTATGAACTCACCAGCGTTATGCTGATTTTCAAACCACTTGTATTCTCAGGTCCGCGTTAGACAGGTACTTGAAGATCCTTTCGTACGAAGATGGAGTTCTCAGAGACTCGTTTTGTGTTGTTCATATATATTGTTATGTAGCACTTGTATAAGTACTGATGCTTTTGAAACAAATGTAAAACTTTCATATATATATAATGTAATGGTTGTTCTACTTTACTTACTATGTACATTGGATTTGATAGTCAACGTGGAGTCAACCAAGGAAATGTTTCCGCCTTCGGTTTTCGAGGTGTGATAGCAAGGAAATAAATAAATGAGTCAAATCAAATTTTATTTTATTCATAAAGCATGGGAAAACATTTGTCCTTACAATGAAAAATCAACTGAATATTTCTAACAACTCTATCATAACTTTCTAAGCTCAAAATCCAATATTCAAGTCCATACGATCGAGATCCACTACTAGAAAATTAGCCTTTTACGACGCGCAATGCATGTCGTAAAGCGCTCAGACGGCGCGCAAATGCGTGTCAAGGAAGGCCCTGTCATAACGAGAGACGACACGCTTTTGCGCGTCGTCCATTTACGATGCGCATTTACGACGCACATTTATGACACACATTTACGACGCGCAGTTATGACACACAATGCGTATCAAGGAAGGCCCTGTCATAAAGGATGACGACACACATTTGCGTGTCGTAACCGATGCGCGTGTTTATGACACGCAATGCGTATCAAGGAAGCCCCTGTCATAAATGAAGATGACACACATTTGCGTGTCATAAACTTCAATAACCATTTATGAGATGCATTTACGACGCATCTTTTCGATACTTATTTACGCATAATACAAAAATATGAAAACAAACACATACCAAAACAATCAATTTCATCCAATAACATCATATCAAAAAATTGTAATACATTGATATTAAGGGGATCTAATTGTACATTGTTATTAAGAGGTTTTCCCTAACTATATAACCTAATACTACATTGCTATTAAGGGATACCTTCTGCAATGTAATGCTATACAAACTAAAAAGATATACACAAAGATGATAAAGATCAAATTCGAACTAAGTAGAGTTGCATCTTGCCTTTCATAATTCTTTACGACTAATGAACCCCTTCTCTGATCATTCTTGTGACCTGATCAAATAAAAGTCAAAAAATTAATATGCTAATATAATTATTAGAAGAATCAAACGTGGAATGTTCGTTGGCAGGAGATGGGTACTTTATCAGATCTTGTGTCTGCATTTGAAGCTAAGGTTTGTATATTGGCCGGATAACAGAAGATAACAAAAGATAAAGATAATGAGCAGATCTCTGGATTACCACCGGAACTACTCGAAAAAACCAAATCATATGGGTGGAAGAAGAGGCTATTTTTACCTGCTCAAGATGTTCCATTTCCTTTTTCCCCAAGTGTGTTGTCGTTTTCTCAAAGTTTTTCAAACATTTAATATTGTTGAAATTGTTGAATATTGTGAACCTTGTATTTCTGCCAATCCAAGAATCAAAATAGTTTGTCTGCATGTTTTCAACCAAATATAGGAAATTTGAGGAGTGTGTATACATGTCATTTATATATATATATATATATATATATATATATATATATATATATATATATATATATATATACCTGGAGACGACTCTTTAAGTGGAGTGGCCTCTAACAAAATAATTTATATAACAAAATATAGAAAATAAATGTTTTACATAAGCTTCAAAATATAGAAAAAAAAGATGACTCTTTAAGTGGAGTGGTCATCTTTGCTATTGCTCCTTATGGGGACTATTACTATTAAATATTCTGAATTGAATAACAAAATATAAGCACCAGCTTCAGCTTCAGCTTCTATAAGTATAAGCATAAAAAAATATAATACATTTAAATAAGTGGTAATGCAAATATTCAATAAACAAGAGGCAGTTGACTTACACTGCCACAGAATGACTTGGGGTTCTCCAACTGGTCCATAGTCACTCCCAGCTTTTGCACTTTCTCCTCTTCTTCAGCACATCCACATGAGCAATTTTTGCATGCTTTCCTTGTGCTTCCAACTTCACAATCACCAACTGGAAAACCTAATCACAATATGCAATCAGAAACAACAAAATCTCACCTCCTCCAATTTAACATCTACACACTTATCCAAAGAACAAAAATGAAAACCCTAACTCATAACATTTACCAGGTGGGAGCTGAGGTCTCTTCAAGTCCTCTTCAGATAACAGGCTGTCCTTATCAATATGATCCATGTCATCAACAATCTGGACTTTAGGTAAGCTTTTCAATAGCTTCTTAAGAGAAAACCAAGAACCAATCTTCCAGGTAGGTTTCTTAGCCTTAATCTGTGGATAACAAGAATATTAATCAAATTTATAATTCTCACAATATTATCTGTATCCAGACGCAGATAACGGGCTTAAAACAGAACACTATGACATGGACATGATGGATACAGATTCGAATGAACTTACCCCAAAAGATTGTGCTTTTGTAATCTCAACCACCTCTATATCTGAAAACCCTACAACTAACAGTTTACGCTTAAGAGAAGATTTCATCTACAAAATCGTGAAACAAGATTATTAGTATACTCTATAATCATATAACCTAAAATACCCTTTGCATAATTTCTAATATTGTTATTTATTTTATTTTCAAGGTGCGATTTACAGGGGAGCAATCTCAGCAAACCCAATTTACTTTAAGGACTCGATAATCAAAATAGTATAACCAACAAAGTTACAACTTCAAACAGACATTTGATCAAATGGGTTGCGTGCATATGTTCTTACATGGCCCTAAGAACAACACAAAAGCCAAGCTACCTCCAGATATTAATCCAATCTAATCAAAAACCAAAAATTTGGATTATTTTATTAGCAATATAATTTTTGTAAGTTAAATTAAAAAGCAAAAAAGAATACTATATATATACTTAACCTTAAGAACTCTGTCTATTACTCTGCATGCTTCACCATAGTTCTTTTGTGAATAACTACTTGCAAGAATTGCCTAAAAAACAACATAATCAGACAACTACAGTAAGCAAAGAAAGAGCCAACCAAACTTCTAAACAAATCTGATATGCAGCCATGGGAATAAAACCTTCTCTTGCAGCTATTGATGTAGATAAAGTCAGAGTTACAAGAACAACAAAACTCCTCCACATTAAAAGCAACCTTGGTTGAAAATTGAGGTTGATGTCACTTGTACAACATCAGATTCCACCCATGTTCACATTATTAGTGAATCCAAAGTCCAAAGTCCAAATATCTCCCCTCACAGTGTTGAGAGAAAAGTCTTGAAGTGATTATGTAAATGAAAATGAAATCAACTTCAAATAGGACCCGATATACATAAGAGTAGGGTTATATATGTTGTATTCCAACACACTTTTATGCCATGTCTCACCTATTTTATTTTTATTATCATGATTTAACTATATCATGAGTTTTCAAATAAATTTGTCAAAGTCAAATATTTAATGTTGAAGTTAGGTTACATGTTTGACTCTTATACGCCCAGCCCACAATATCAATATTGTCTCCATGCAAAATGCAATGGTAGCATGATCGGGAAGTTGACTTTGTCTTCAGAAAGCCAAATGAGGCAAAAATGACGAATATTACACTCCATATATCATATGATTTAACAATACACATTCTTATAAAGAATATGTTTTGGGGACAATCCAAGTGACTGATATAGAAAAACTAAAAACCTCCTTGTGTAGAGGTAAATCATGGACATGGTCATAAGATTCACATAACTTATGTTGAAATCTCTCTATTTTGTCTGTTAATAATAAAACTCAATTTACTTTTATTCGCGTATTGAAATCTTTTAAGTGTGTGTTGATTGTTCAAAAAAAAACCTAAGAAACGACAGGTAAGCATTTTATATGGTTTATGATCAGGAATGGGATTTGAATGCAGAAGTAAGAGTGTGAATGTTTATATATTTACATAGAATTAGAGTTGAGTTGAGAAATAAAAATCAAGAAGAAAGGGATGCCAACAACCAAAGGACAGTGTGAGAAGTAATAGCAAGAAGAAACCAAGCAAGAAACGCAAAAGCAATGATTTAAAGGACTAACAGCCATTATCCATCTTAAAGAAAGCCTTAAGCTTCAACACCCTTCTCTAGTACATCATCCATCTAGCTGAACTGGTGGATAAAGGAAAAGGTAGTGTTTACCAGGTGTGCCTATCAGATCCCACCACAACAGCTCCACCGAGTTAATAGTCCACCCCGACTACCACCTCTTGGATAAAACTGAAATAACACAACAAAAGCTCCATAACACAAAAGCCAAAAGGAAGCTCCACATTTAAGTGGTACAGACACCAACATCTAAATCCATAAGAACCAACACCTTTGAAATAAATTTAAAAAAAAAAAAAAAAAGGCGACACAACGTTTAATAAAAAAAGAAAAGAAAAACTTGCGAACACGCAAGCAAAAACCGAATAAGCATGACTATGTTAAATCATTAATGAACAAGAAAAAAGACACGAGGTTACAAGTTGAGTGTAAATTTACGAATTTACCCCTATTGTGATAACAAAACTTCAAAATAAAAAGTTCATTGATAATGCCCCATAGATATGACATAATTCAGTGTATTCATCGTTTAAAAAAACGTGAGAAACGCACGCTCTGAGGCGCGCCTTGAGGCGAATCGCAGGTTGATCGATCTAGAGGCGCCGCCTCAGTGGTAAGATTTGGTACGCACGCCTCATACCAGTGAAGCGCATACGATTCGATTGAGGCGGAACGCTTTCCAGATGCGTACGCCTTCAATTTTTGTTTGACTATTTTGACTTTTTTACGTCGACTTTGTTTATACCTTTGTTTTATTGACCGGTTTTTTAATAAAACTGAAAACCCGTTTCATATATTGACCTAATCACCTCATTCGCTCAATATAAATCGCCGCTCATCTCTTCATCTCAAAATCGCATCTCACCTGCACTTCTTCTGATCGAAGGTCTGCTAATATTCAAAGGTTAATTTTCTTAATCTTCTATCAAAAGCACTTTGTAATTATTATTATTATTATTATTATTATTTTGTTCAGCAAATGATTTCTTTGGGACTATCAATTGTGTAACTTAGGTTCTGCACTTCTTCTGATCTGATTTTGCTGCATTCTATTTACAGTGAGGATGTCCAGTAAAGGTGGAAGGTCGGACCCTGCTTGGGGTCACAGTGAGGAAGTAATGGTAGAGGCAGAGGGTCAAAAAAAGGCATACAAATATCTAAAATGTAAGTATTGTAGCAAAATCATTAAGGGAGGGGTTCAGAGAGTGAAACAGCATCTTGCTTGTACACACCAAGATGTAGAGCCTTGTCCTAATGTTCCAGAAATAGTGAAAGAGGAAATGCTTCAGTTTTTGAAAGCATTTCAGGCTACTAAATTAGCTTCTCGAACAGCCTTCGAAGAAAACGTAGCAAGTGGGGCATACTACAACAGAGGTGGAAGTGTTGATCCATCATTTACAACTGGTAGCTCTAAGGGTGTTAGAGGACCAATAGATAGATGGATGGTGGGTGGACAGGAGGATGAAATAGATGGTCCAGGACCTATAAAAATTACCCCATCCAATACTAAAGAGCATCGAAACCAAGTTTGTTTGGATATTGGGAGGTTCTTTTATGAGAATGGAATCCCGTTCAATGTATCCAATAGTCCATCATTTACTAATATGGTACATTCTATTGGAAACTATGGACGCGGATTGAAACCCCCTTCAATGCATGAATTAAGAACTTGGACCCTTCAAGAAGAAGTTAAAACAACAACAACAATGGTAGATGACATTAAAGCAACTTGGAAGACAACCGGGGTGTCATTGTTATCAGATGGTTGGTCCGACATGAGAAACCGAAGTTTGATCAACTTTTTGGTCAACAATCAATATGGAACTGTATTTTTGAGGACTATTGATGCATCAGATTGCATAAAAAATGCTCAAAAAATATTTGAGTTGCTTGATGAAGTTGTTGAAGAGATCGGGGAAGATATTGTTGTTCAAGTGGTGACCGACAATGCTAGTGCATACAAAGCTGTTGGAGCATTGTTAATGGAGAAGAGAAAAAACTTGTATTGGACCCCGTGTGCAGCTCACTGCATTGATTTGATGCTTGAAAAAATCGGTGATTTGACTCAACATAAAAATGCTTTGCTTAAAGCAAGAAAGATTAGCAATTTCATCTACAACCATCAGTGAGTGTTAAGTTTATCCCGGAAGATTCTAAAGAAAGATCTACTTCGACCGGCCGCCACGAGATTCGCCACGGCTTTTCTGACTATACAAAGCATTTATGAATCGAAACAAAACTTACAACAAATGTTTGTTTCAAACGAATGGGGGGCATCTTCTTGGGCTAAGAAACCCGATGGTAGAGAGATAAAAAAAAAAAAAAATTATGGATGAAAGAAATTTTTGGCCTAGTGTGGTTTATTCCATGAAAACCACAATGCCACTTGTTCAAGTTTTAAGGCTCGTTGATGGGGAGCAAACACCAGCAATGGGATTTATTTACGGGGCGATGGACGAATGCAAAGAAAAAATAGCAAAGAACTTGGATAACAACCTCGCTTCTTATAAAGAAATTTGGGACATTATCGATAAGAAATGGGAGTTGCAAATGCATCGTGATTTGCACGCTGATGCCTGCTACTTAAATCCACAATATCGTTGGAGTCCCAATGTTTCCGAGCATCCGGAGATTAAGCGAGGATTGTATGATGTCATGGAAAGGCTCGTGAAGGATACGGCAGTTTATATGAAGATTGAAGATCAACTCGTTGCTTACAAAGAAAAAAGAGGATTATTTGGATATAGAGGTTCTTTATCGACATATCTGACACGTCCACCGGGTATATTATTAAGTAGTTTTGTTATTATAGTTATAGTTTTTATTTTATATAAATTACATTACTTATTAAGTTATTTATAAACATATATAGTTACATGGTGGGGTGAATATGGAGACGATGCTCCAGAGCTCAAGTCCTTTGCAATAAAGGTTTTGGGTCTTACATGTTCCGCTTCGGCTTGTGAACGTAATTGGAGTACGTTCAATCAAGTCCATACCAAGAGACGCAACCGGTTAAACACCGAAAGAATGAACAACTTGGTTTACATCATGTACAATAAAAAGTTGAAGCAAAAGTTCATTAAGAGGACTAAATTAAAAGAAGATGACCCCTTAGTTGTTGATCATGTATTGTCGGATGATGAGTGGATAGCCGCCCCAAGTGATGGTGAGGAAGATGACATTGGAGGTGGCGGGATATTAGGGGAGGAAGATGGTGGGGTAATTGGAAGTGCTAGAGCTGGCAGGGCTATTGGAAGACCTAGAGGTGGCGGGACAATTGGGGAAGGGAGTGGAACTAGGAAAAGGAAAAATGTTCAAGTGAATTTGATTGACGAGGATGACGGGGATGAAGTGAATTTGATTGACGATGACGAGGGTGACCGGTTTGAAAATGATGCGAATGATGCTGATTATTTTATTTGAACTTTTCACTAACTTGTGCTTTTTTGTGTGTGTTTCTTAAGTGGCTGTTGTTTTGGAGTTTTAGACTTTGATGTTCTAGACTTATTTTATGTTTTTGAATGTGTTTTTTTATAACTAATGGATTTGATGGTGAAATTAGCTTAAAAGGACATGTTTAGTATATATATATATATATATATATATATATATATATATATATATATATTGTATTCCGCCTCGGGGTTACGCCTCACTCCGCCTCGAGGCTTACGCCTCATGAGGCGGAGGGAAAACGCCTCAAGGCGCGATTCCGTACTTTTAAACCTTGAGTGTATTCATAGAAAGTTTGTCTGTTTGGCCTTAAAGGGAGCTTGTAATTCACAAGAATGAAGAAGGATACCCATCCATGAAATTGAAAGTAGAAAGTGCCACATACATAGGTTCCTGAAATCAAGATTCAAGAATCAAGAATGAATAATTATCAAAGAGTTAACGTAAAGTAGAAGAATTTGAGGCACCTCATTCCTAAAGGAACATCTGAGTGGCCATTTTCCATGATATTTGAAAGTTCTATTGCCAGTTATCTCTCTTTCTTTCACGATTAACTTAATCAAAGGTAAGGTATGAGCATAGTTCCACCACCATCTATAAATTAAGAAAATAAATATGTATAAATCTTTCTAACCTTCAGTTAAGCTGTTCACCCATAAAAAAGTTTTTATAGTATTTTGCAACCAAACCTTAGTTGAATTGTACTTACATGGTACTGGTTAAGAAGATGGATCGGCTTTTTGACCACAAAAATGCATGGGATGTAGCTGAGAAGGTAAGCCTGAGTAGCAGTTCAAATACCACAAGCAAGACTGCTACAAAAACTAACATAGATATGTAACAATTGAACATCTGAAACGTTTTATCCTGCAAAGTCTAACATAGATAGGTCAAAATCTTACCTACATCAACTTTAAGGTTGCCTTGTTAGAGAGAACGACTAGAATAGATTTCCTTTTTTGACCATAAAACGTTTTATCCGCGTTGTCAATGATCACATCTGAACAAGTGATTCTTCAGAGGTTAATTCATGTCTCACAATAACACATAAAAGAACAATACATGAAATTGACCTCAATGATATCGCTATTGTACATTACACTTCAGATTTACTAAAAACATGTGTAGTTCATTGCTCAAAATATATAATATAGCATTAAAACACAAGAGTCACTAATTGGGGCATTTTATCAAACAGTTGGTGTTCACCACAAAGTATCCCTAAATAGGAGGTGATTCTTCAAAGATTACCAGGTTGTTGTCTTATATAGTAACAAAGCAATCAAAAATAACAATCAGTAGCCCGAGTTATAGGAGCGTAGAGAAATAAAACACCAATTGTGTTTAGAAGACTCAAAAGATTTACAAATAGCGTAATTTAGAAAAAATAAAAAGTATTTACTGATGACTATACTAAGATTTGATTACTCACCTGTATATATAAATGTCTGATGGTTCCATCATTAGCAGTGGGTAACAAGTTCACGACATCAACCACTCTGTAGTCATGAAACCTTGTGGTGAGATTCTTGAGGGTTTCAACGACCCTTGTAGGCTCGAGAGTAACCAAGTCGCAGGGTTGTGTTGCCATACCAGGAATCAATAGCCAAGCTGGGTGAAGGAGTAAGACGATTTAATAAGATAACTCTAAAATATAAGATAGAAACCTAAATTGCCTTTTAGGTTTTGAAAACGTGAATTCAAGGAGAGGAGGAAACCTTGTTGGGCTTAGAATCCCTAGTTCTTCGTCATAGAGCCCTCAATCGTAATGATTTTGTAAGGTCTATTTTTGGGAGCAAAAAACCCTCAATCTCAACAGTCTTGTTCCACCTTAAGATTTGACGACGGTGAAAGCTAAACTCCATCATCTCCATTCCATACGATTTCAACCCTTTGTAATAGCCTCTTCAGTTGTTCTATTATGTCTCGTACCCATCGATCACCACTAAAAACCCTAACATGTACTAAGTCGATAGAAAAATGAGAGAATCAGAATTTTAAAAGAAAATAAAAGACCTCCCGCTACCTACTAAGAAGGAAGATGCACGTTAGGGTTCTTCGTTGTGTGTTGTTTTGATTTATCTATGGGAAATCAGAAACAAACGAGAATCAAGCTTTGCATTCCACACTTCATAGCAATAACTCATGGAATTCACAGAGCTTCGTTAAGCCAAACCATGGAAAAGAGAAAAGTAGAAATGAAGGAAGATGAGAACAAAGCGGGGTTTTCTAATTTTTGTGGACTTCGTTCCCGCTTAACTATTAAAGGTCGGAAAACGCTCGTTCCATTAAAATTTATAAAGCCACATCCTTAGACATCTTATTACAGGTGCACTCCGTGTTTTTTTCTTTTTTTTATTTAGACACTAATTTAAGGCCACGCAATAATGGGTGATACAAATCCTTAAATTTTTTGAATAGATGACACTTTTTTAATGTCACACGCTTTTACGTAACATAAATCAAGGAGTGTCGAGTTTTGCGTGTTGTAAAAGGATCTTTTTCTTGTAGTGATCCATTTCTCTATGATTAGACTCATATTGCTTTTCCATCAAGCTTCATTTCTTTTCACTGATCCTGCAAAAACATTCAAATGCAATCTTATCACATCATGTATTAAGAACCAACGAATAGGAACATAATGGAGTTAGATAGTGGATTTTACTTGAAGCATAGCCATTCTCTTTGACTATCCCATCTGCTGGACTCTTTAGACTCTTAGGGCAGACTTGTATCCAACGCCCTTTTCTTGGTAGCAAACGCAGGTCGGTTCTCCTAGAACATCCTCGGAAGCATGGTTGGTTGACTTTCCCAACAAATATGCTCCATTGCTTTGCCAAATTATTTCTGATTCAGCAACAATGAGCATGTAAGTTAGGTCAATGAAGTTTTCGTCATGATCCATCATATAATACTTTCTTTTGAACTCATTATATGATTCAGGAGGTGACTGCAGAACCTAGTTCACAGCCAACTTATCCGGGAATGACGCACCCAACATTATCAACCTATCGATGTGTGATTTCATTCCCAAAACGTGGGCACACACGGGTTTACCATCTTCATGTTTCATTTCCAATAGGGCTTTAGTGACATTGAACATTTCAATTCTTCGATCTTCTGGGTTAGGGAGAACAACGGGAGGAGGAGGAGGAAGTGAAGCATGATTTCTTGTTCCTTGATCGAATCGTGGAATATCATCTTCATGTGGAATGCTTGTTCCACGGGATTTGGGAAGACCATAGTTGTCAAACTTTGACATCTACAAAACGGGAGAAAACAAATTCAAGTTAGTTAATCGATTGAGTCCTTAGTAAATCACCCAAATGAGATACTAAGGCTAGAACCCAACACAATACGCTACAACCTAGAAAAGGGATGCCGTAATCTAGTTGCAGAATATTTGAAGGTAAGTGAATGACGATTCACTAATTTCCACCATGAAAAACGAAAAATAAATTTAAGTTTTAAATCTATGAAAACTCCTAGATCCTTTGAGATTCATTGAACTTTCAATGGCATGTTTAAATCTCGATATGCCCCTCTTGTTTGTGACTGGGATGCCGAGGATCACAAAGCGGGTGTGAATAACCATGCAAACTTACATGGTGCCCTCACATGTTACAATCACCTATTCGATGTGCCGGTAAACCACACACGCTCCACCGAACTATGACAAACATTGAGTCACCCTTTGCACCTTTGCTTAGAACCATTTAGTGTGCCGGTAAACCACACACGCTCCACTAACGTCTTCGCAAGGGCACAAAGTGTAATTTCATGGAATTGCATCAATTCACTTTTGCCTAAGTAACTAAGATTGGGAATTAGAAAAACATTTAGTTACTTTGTATTTCATTATACTTATAATGGAAGGTTTCGTCCTATCCTACCCGTTCGGCTAACGACCCTCCACTAGTCAAGAGTGCGGTGGGTAAGAGTGGATACCCATTCAATCGCCATTTTATAGGCAATTTCCTTAAACACCCCTTATAGACCAGCTTCGTGAATGAGGCCTACTAACGGTAAGACTGACTTTTACTCATACATATATATAATGTTAGACTTTTAATGTTATATATATAGTATAGGGTGCATTTCATACTTTTAAAATACTATGTGGTTAACTTTAACAATTACACTTTTAATTCAATTAAATGGTTAACCTAAACTTTTATGGATTTATTAAATCTCTTTTAATTATACTCCTTAATTAATTAATAAAACCATAAGGGTGTATTTGAACTTTTCAAAACTAGGGTTTTAGAATTTAACATTCCTAATCAACTTTTAAATTCCAAAACTTGAGGGCAAGTTTTGAAACATTTCAAAACAATTTAGTTTTAATCTATCTTAAAATTTCGAATTTATGACATTTAAATTTAAAATTTTAAATATTAAAACTTTTGATTTAATAATTATCTGAATTAGACTATTAATTTAATTATTAAATCATAAGGGATTATCTAAATAATGAGGATAATTACCATTTATACATTTAAGTTATCCTAATCCCTTAAATATCTATATAGATTTCGAAAATATGGATGGATAATGCAAGATCTTGAATTACCATATATAACAATTAGAGGATAATTACAAGATATGGGATAATCCAAATCCCTAAAAATTAGGATTTATCTTGGGGAGGAGGCAAATTTCGAAAACAAGGGATTATAACAAACCCTAGATTTCGAAATTTAAGTGTTTAAGGAAAGGATTTGAAGATCTTATTCAAACTCTTGCAAATTAGGGTTTGCAAACCCTAATCTCAAAAAAACTAGCCTCCTAGGGTTTATTGGCAATAAACCCTAATATATCAAGTTCATACAATTGAAACCAAACCAATGGCTCTGATACCACTGATGGGTTTTGGTCATAAGACATCCTATGTGCTTATACAAACCCTAATGCTTGGATCTAGGTTTCTCTATTGTACATGCTTTGAATCCAAGACTATAAACCCTAATTCTAGCATGAAAGTAATCATATTAACATAAGAATGAGTTTATAATGTTACCTTGATTGTTATGTAGCAATAACAATCCCAAATCTCCTTGATTTGACTTTGGAATGCTTAGAGTCACAAGTGTCACTCCTCTAATGGCTTACAAACACCAAGAGCAAATGGAG